GGATTTTGGGGTTTAGGCTTTGGGGTTTCGAGTTTTGGGGTTAGGGATTTTGGGTTTAGGCGTTTGGGTTTAGGGGCTTTGGGTTTAGGGGCTTAGGGTTTTGGGGTTTAGGGTTCAGGGTTTTGGTTTTTGGGTTTAGGGGTTTAGGGTTTTGGGTTTTGGGGTTGAGGGGGGCTACTGATGGGATCTTGGGGTTCAGCTCCCCCTTCTGGCAAGGCAACACCGGCGAATCTGCATCCCAGCTGTCTTGGGGTTTAAGGGTTTAGGGGTTTAGGGTTTAGGGTGTTGGGTTTAGGGTTTAGGGGGGTATCTGTGTTGAGGCTTTCAGGAGCAAGAATCTCCATAGCCCGCAAGCTCCAAAAGCGACCAGACCCTTTCGAAGACCGAAGAATGCAACTCAAAAAGACAGATACGTCGTCGCAACCCTCTATACCCTAGACCCTAAACCCCAAACCCCAAACCCCAAAACCAAAACCCTAAACCCCAAACCCCAAAACCCTGAACCCCAAAACCCAAAAAACCTAAACCCCTAAACCCTTGGAGAACTCGTTTCCCTCAGCCACCTCCCGCAGCTCCAGGGCCACCGTGGACCCAGCGCTGCCGGCGCGGCCCTCGGACTTCACCGGAAGTCCCTGCTTCCAGTAGTCGTGGTCCTTCGGGGCTTCGGGTTTAGGGCTTTTGAGGTCTAGGGTTTGGGGTTTTGAGGTCTTGAGGCTTGGGCTTTTGAGGTTTAGGGTTTGGGGTTTAGGGTTTTGAGGCTTTCGCTTTTGAGGTTTAGGGTTTGGGGTTTAGGGTTGTGAGGCTTGGGGCTTTTGAGGTTTAGGGCTTGGGGCTAGGTTCAGCTAGGGTTTAGGGTTTTGAGGTTTAGGGTTTGGGGTTGAGGTTTGGTTTAGGGTCTAGGGTTTGGGGTTTAGGGTTAGGGCTTCCCGGTGCACTGCATGGGAAGGAACAACTAGCAAAAATATCCCTTTATAAGCAAAGCTTACAGGCCCCCATTCAATCTCTAAGACTAGGAATTCAGAAACTCTGAGAATTGACATGGTAGAGGGGTTTAGGGCTTCGTGGCAGAGTTTAGCCTAAACCCTGAACCCTAAACCCTAAACCCTAAACACCAAACCCTAAACCCAAGACCCCTCATTATTTTGAAAGCTTAAGGATCTTTGGGGTTTAGGAGTTCAGGGCTTAGAGGTCAGGGCTTGGGGTTTAGCCCCAAACCTTTACCCGAGTAACCTGAAGCATCCTAAACCCAAACTTAAACCACAGAGATACCCTATCCCTCAACCCCAAACCTAAACCACAGAGATCTTCACTCTTTCAACTGTCGGAGGTCCTGCTTGTCCCCCTCCCAAGCCAGGCTTGCATATTCGGCCACCCGCTGCGCACCTCCAAAGAACTTCCTGGGTCGTGTGCCCATTTTGAGGCGTAAAATGGGCTAAGGGTTTAGGGTGGGTGGGTGCAATTGAAGGGCCTTAGGATTAGAAAAGGCGTGGTGCCGGGGGTGAGTTATCAAAGGGTCTTATGCGGTTTCGCAGAGGAGCCTGAATGCTCAGAACAGGATCTGGGGGCAGCCAATACTACAAACATAGAGGGACGAAAACGGCACACCGTGACTCACTGGACTGGTACTGTCTGTGCAGGCCTCTACCTCAGGGTTTGGGGCTTGGAGGCTTAC